GGGACTAAACAGATCAAGTGGATCAACAACCTCAAAGTGACTCACATATTCCAAAGCCCATTATTAACATCCTCCACACCTCACGCTCGGGGTTTGGGCCCATAAGGACAAGGCGGCCCTCTCAGTGTGGTGTTTGTTGGAAAAATGGGCCTTACAATGTATCAAATACAAGGCCACACACAGACAAACAGGCACCCAAAACTCCCTGCAGAACAATGCAGCCAATCAACAAAGCTTAGATGTAAGAAATTGCGATCATGTCATGAAATCACCAGTGCCAAGATACTTCATTATGGTCTACTGAGTTTTATAGATAGATGACGTTACTACTCTTTTGATGGACTCTACGATGGTGTCACATTGACAGTCCATTTTTGGACAAAAAGAAAATAAGCTTTAAGGTTCAAATGGCAATGAGACAAAAAAAAGAGAGGAAATTTTAACCTGTGGGAAGGTTTTTTTCTTTGGATATTTGAATCTAACAGTAAATTTATTGTTTTGGAAAAAGAAGATCATATTCTTTCTCCTTAAAATTTTAAATACTTGGTGAACTATTTGTTCCCCCAAATGCAGGCTCACGCAGTTTGAAGCTGTGGGACAAGATTTCGAATTGAGCAAGATGCTCCAACTGTGACCAGAGAATGGATGTCTTTCTCTCTGAGAATGCAGCAGGCTTTGGATGGTAGCCATGGAAAAGCGTTGAAAAATAGTCACAAGGTTTAAAGATTAATTGGATTCAGAAGGATTTCTGGGGTATGTGGCTTATCAGTGGCTGACGGCTACATGTTCTGCAGTGTGTGGTTGCTCTCTCAGGGATGGGTGGATACAGAGACACAACTTGGATGAGACAACAATAAACCATGAGCAAAGACGGAGTTCGTCTTAGTCACCGTCTCTTCAGGCAAGCTGGTGGTTTGATTTATAAAAGCATGTTCATATGTTATGAGTAGTCATGTGAATGGTATGATGACAAGTCTATTAGATTTATTGTGCTTTGTTGGGATTCATGTTGGGGTCATGTTTGGTTCTGTTTTCATCTGAGAAACAGAGCTGTTTAAATTATTTGTTTTCAAGACACAGATGAAGTTTGGAATCAGTTTCAAGATGCTGTGATAAAACAGTAAGAAGTGGAGTCATAGAGAGATTGAAAAAGCTTAAACTGCAACATGGCTTTCCTGAATGTGGCTTTTATGCAAGACAGGTTTATGTCATGGATTGAATTTCGAGATATTAAAAAGTACTCACAAATATATTTACAGAGGGAAAAGAGTTTGACCTTTTAACACGCTAACAAGATAAGATAGTTGACTGTTGCTTGACACATGAAATTATAAGACACTCCAAGCAACGGATGCTGATGGTCCTCTAAGGGTAACTCAACAAAATATTAAGAGGTGTTAGACAAATCAGTGGGACAAGTTACAGATCAAGAGAAACAGGTCTAAGCCCTTACACTATTAAAAAATATCTCTAATTTATGACAAAATGCTGGAAGCTGTGGTTTCCAGAATTGTACTGTATAAAAAAATAACATTTTTACGGTAAAATTTCCCAATGTTTCAGGTTCTTCTGCTTTTTTTTTTGTTGTTGTTGTTGTTTTTTCCTTGTTCCTTAAGACAAGCCATCGTGGCTTGTATTTTCTGGCATAGCGTGCCACAAACAATGATGCTCTTCAGACCATCAAACACTACCCGATATTTGCGTGCTTCAGACTCACAACTTTTGTAGATCAAATTGGCATGCTTAATGAAAACTTCAAGACATCAGTTCCCTGAGTCACTCATTTTGCTAAAAATTGGATTTTATACATATTGTAGCTGCACTGGATTAGACCCTGATCAAAAGGTCAAAAATAATATTGCAATGAATGTTTGATCTCGCTGACATAAAGCAGATGCTGCATTTGTAGATTCGTGGTCTTCAGGGTGGAGGACATCAGATTTACTTATGTAAATTCAACTCAGTCTCCCAGACGCCATTAACTGGACCTGCCAAGTTTAAGCTTTGCCTCAACAACTGATTGACCCGTTTTGTTTTATTTCTCCTCCATCTGTTCTGTCGGATAACTCGCATAAAACGTCCTCCCATGACCCTCGTTCCTGTGGCTTACAGTTAATTACCACAGAAGTTTGCATTACACATGACTCATTGTCAGACGACGTTATGTTGTAACTCTATTACAAGCTCCAGCCTTAAGAGAAAAAAAACATCAGAGAAACCAAAGTTTAAATAATCATTACCTGCTGATAAAACACAATTGGGTTTGTGAGAACATCAAGTACATCAACCAAAAGAAAAATTGACATAAGAAAACCCCAAATCTCACAGGATGCAATAAATGCTTTGCCGTGACACCATGAGTCATTCTTACAAGCTTGAACTCTACGTGTCATGCCAAACTGCATTTACCCTGGTCATGTGGCATGCACACACTTTGACTAATTCTTTGTATAACCTTTAAATTCAATTTCAACATTCAGTATTTTTAATTTAAACTTCTATTAGTTCTAGAGTTTCACTAACTGTAAATACAATCCACTCGATGCTTTACTAATTTTCATCCTGTGGTTAAAGCCATAGTTTACAGAGGTTACAAAGGATCAAACTGATCCTATTGTATGAAAGTCTTAAGTCACCAGAAAGTCACAAAAACCCAACCATGACACAGTAAATACGGTCATCAGTAATTTGAGAAAACATGGAACTGTCGGGGAAATAACTAAAACTGGCCATTTTTCCAAAACTGAACAGAAAATGTTCAGGAAGGTTGCCAAGAGCCTGACAGCACTGAGGGAGCTGTAGGAATTTCTCGTTAGTGCTGGTTGTTTTCTACATATGTTCGGGCTGATGAGTGGGGTTGAAAGACAGAAGCATTTTCTTCCAAAGACGACATCTCTCCGACATAGCGGGTGAAATCATGAACAGTTCTAAATGCCGCTTAGTTTTGACCCAAAACTTTCTAGTGTCTGCTAAGTAACTGAAGCTAAAGATAAGATTGAACTGTTCAGCATCCCTGTGACTTCAAACATTTAGCAAATTCGATAAAAGAATGGTTTCACCAGAAGAAAACAGAAGTTTTTGAATGACCAAACCAGAATCCAGGAAGAAAGGTGACAGAAAATTTGTGAGGTAGAAAGCTGTGGTCAATAACTATCTGGGCAAATATGATCATGTCAAGCTGTGAGACAGACTCCTACTGAAGGAAACTAAATGCAGGAATTGAACTAAATGTCAGGTAAACAATATTTTACTTCAGCTGTGCTAACAGCTGAAGTAAAATATTCCACACCTACGCAACAAGGATATTATAAATCTTGCTTAATTTATTTTAAAATGTTCTCTCTGCCACATTTGTTCACCACTTTATGCATTTTTACATCGTGTTCATTAAGTTCCGTTGTAAAAGACCAGTATTATGGAAAATCTACCTTTTTTTTTTTAGCTTTACATCTTGTTATTCTCTCATCAAAATCATACCTGGCATGTTACTTTGATTCTTTCATGTTTAAGAAATTCTTCAAATCTCACCTGGTACCCATTGTGTTTGCAGAAACTTGGTCTCACAAGGCGTTGCCTTTTCCACAAAGCTCGTCATCAGAGCTGCAGAATATGAAGAGCTAAATCGGCTAAAAGCTAGACGCGTACAGACGCGCGAGACCGACTGGCCCGCGCGCACAAATGGCAACAGCAATTAGCAAACACCTGGTGGGACCATAGACGTAAAAACTTCTTCTTCTGTGGTGTTTACTGGCAGTTTACAGGCTTGGAGTATTACCGCCATCAACTGGACGGAGGTGTAATCCAGAAATTCTATTTATCTTTTAAAATCCTAAAATAACTATATTGTATACATACACATATACTAAATCTTCTCAGCTAATTTTGTGTCTTTTACATACTTAATAAGTGTTTGAATTATTATATCTTGTGATGGAGGCTTCCCAAATAAATTAGCCATAGTTACTGAAATGCCTGTTACCCTTTCCTGATAAATAAATAAAAACGTTATAAGAAGTTTTCTGTAGCAATGTTGTTGTGATGATGTGCTGAAGGCGGTGTGTCAGAAGGAGCAGGAATTTCTTAAAGAAACAGAGGCCCGATTTCAAGGTGTTAAAATCCATCAATCAATCCATTGTTCAACACTCTTACCTCTAGTGGGGTTGCGAAGGGTGCTAGTGTCTATCTCCAGCCATCAATGAGCGACACCCTGGACAGGTCGTCAGTCCATTGTAGGACAACACAGAGACAGACAAACTGTGGGAGGAAGCCATAGTACCCGGAGAGAACCCACACCTGCACAGGGAGAACATGCAAACTCCATGCAGAAAGACTTCCAGGATTTGAATCCAGAACCTTGTTGCTGCAAGACAACAGTGCTACCAACTGCCCACTGTGCAGCCAGGCATTAAAAGACAAAGTCAAATTTATTGTATGTCATGTTTGATATATACAGCACTTTTATAACAACTGAACGTAACAGTTACTTTATTATGAAATAAAGTAAATGAAAGTACATAATGCTGCCCATTGTAATGGATAAATTTGAATGCAGTGATGTGTAATTACACCTCATGAGAAAAATACAAAAAGCGAAACTAATAAAGGTTCACCTTTCAATGATTTCCCTCAGTTCTGATCCATCTGGGCCCTATAACTTCATTTCTTAGTGGGGGGGTTAATTGTTAACACTCTGTTGTATGGAAACTTTGCATTATCTGCATGATATTTCTATGATATTTCTCTCTAGCTGCTGCATGCAATCATAAACAGTATTACTGTGGGAAATCTGCAGTGCTTTTACATGGCAACACAAGGATTGGCAGCATGACAGCATGTGACTTACTGCAGGATGGCGGAAAGCAAAAACTCCACATGCATGAAAAAGCTCATTTCCTTCGACTGCAACTGAACGAGTGTCAACAGGCTTTTATAGGAGGAAATAAACGTTAGATGTAAAATATGCTTGCCAGCACTTTTATTATCCTGCCTTGCAGTGAGTGGTGGACTTGGCTCAAGGTCATCCAAAGATTTCACAGCAAATCATTTCTCCAAAGACCTCCTCGGCTATCTCATTTCACCTAACAGCTGTTCTGCGACCACAAGGGATGGGTGAGAGAGAGAGCTCCAGGACGGGAGAGATTAATCAAACACGAGAGGCACAGAGACGGGAAAACACGGCGACAGAAGGACAGGCAGAGGAGCACCGAGAGAGACCATTCACACTGGTGAGTCTGTCCACACTCGCTTGATTGTGTCTGTAGCCAGCAGCAAGAGGAGGACGGTGGGAGGAATAAAACAATTAACATGAACAGCTCTCTGGGGAATGTTGGTTACCTTGACGACAGTCTGCAAAGCCAAACAGACGGGTCCTTTCATAACATTTCAAAACAAACAGACATGTCTCTCATATTAGCACTCTGGCTTTGGTAAGATGGAAGCATCCCCTCCAGTCAAAGTAAAAAAGAAAAAGAAATAAATTCTTCCCTTGTATCTCATTTAGCTCTAATGCCTCTTATTTCACGCGCTTCTTTAACATACTTTTACCTTTAGGAAGAATCAAATCAGCTGGTCTAAGGAATGTGGAGCTGATTAGACCCAGGAGAATTACAAAAAAAAAAAAAAGGTTAAATTATGAGTGTTTATTCAGCCCACGTTTTAGACACAGTCCAAGTGTGTAAATGACTGCAAGCCAATTTCTAGATTTGTGCGGTAGGATGGATGTGGCTCTTTTCTTTTTAATTCTCAGCAGTGTTTGATGAGCCAGCAGGTCCGCCCTGTGTTCTGGCAAAGGTGCTGATCCCTAATCAGTTACAGAAGATCCTGAACAATGGTTTTGAATTGCATGTTCTTCCTTGCCAAAACCATTAAAAAAGAGCAATAAAACGTTTTCTTCTTTGCAACTATACTGCGAGCAGCTTTACCTTTGGCTTGTTCAAAGCCACAGTATACGCATTATATGTGGTCTCCAAATTGCTCTAACTTAGGGGGAAAAAATCCGTTACGTGGTATCTCAGGTAAAAATGTGATCCAACAACTTTATATTCATTATTTTACTGCAAGGATTTGGTAAATATGACAACATCCAGTCGTGCAACGTGAACTAAAGGACTATGTCTGTCTTCCTCTGAGGAGGTGCTGTATTAAAAACAGACGTGTTCCTTATTAAAATCACTCCAAACAGCTCAAAAGTCCTCTAAACAAATCCCCCCAAAAATCTGCACCATGCAAAAACACACAAACATGCAAACAAGATCCAGAATGCCTCCTCCATGCTAGGACCTAAACAGATTGCAGGGGATTACAGTGAAATGGAAAAACAAGGATCATCATAAACATGGATATAAGCAACAAGGGTTTGTGGTCTTTTGTGGATCTCATTGTCTAGGTAACATGTAAAACTGCCGGTGATAGAAACAGCAACATCTCACAATTGCTGCCAGACTATGTAGAGAAATATCTGAAATATCTTCGTTCCTTTCACTGTGATAGGATGACCTCACGCTGAAAAGGCCTCTGAAGTAAATAGAAATAAAACTTTTATGTTTTCACAATATGGAAGGATAGAGAACATACCATTAAATAATGGCAAATGCGGGTTAATCTTCGTTTATTTGCTCGTCTTTGAAGAATAATATAGAGTAAACAGGATGGTACTTACATTACTGATGGGAAGGGAGATTTAACCCTCATGCCTCCCAAATTAAGGTTTGGATGTCCCTAAAAGAAGTAACAATAACAGATGTGCAGTTTTATTTGCTCAGGACCAGACCTATTAATGTCTGCATTTTGTGGTCGCCAGATGTCAAAACAACCAAAACGTGTTAATATGTGTATCTGTGAGTTTCTACTTAAATTTGTTTTTAAGGCCAAGTACTGTTATTCTCCATTCTTTGCTCAATGAACACCATCCTTCTCCAGCATGGTGTTAATCATTAACACCATGCTGGGAGAAAATAGAAAAGATATCATTCAGAATAATCAGTTTACCTACTTACTGGTATTACTCAAACAGGCATTAGAACAATGGGATCATAGAGATAATCCCACAGGATCTAATATTGGCCCATCAGAAATAGAAACTATGTTTCTATTTCTGATTTTCAGACAGTTTTCCTCCAGAACACTGTTGGATGAGATCCCTTGTGCTCTATATAGATGTTAAAAAATGTAAACCCTTTGGGAAATTATAATACTTTGTTTTCCTAAACTATGAGCCTGCATTATAACTGCTTTTCCAAAGAAAAATGCTCGTCCCCGCCTCATTGTCACAGTGTAATTTGTACCCTGTCAGAAAGGAAGGCTAAAAAAATGCCCAAAGGTCCTTGTTTACGATATTCAACAAAGAGTCTCCTTACTAAACACTTTACCTTTGAACAGATCTGTCTTTTTTTTTCCTTTAAATAACACATTTCTCAAGTTTTACTGTAATTGCAACGTTTAATCCGTATTCTGCTTTCCACGAGAATGCAAAACCAAATTTTCAAACTTATCCTTGAACACCCTGTGAAAGTGTTAGGATGGGTGGAGGCTCGGGCATCCATTAGTGCCTGGCTCACTTCCAGCAACCCTCTTGTTATTTCCTCTGCTCTCCCTTTCTCTCTGCTGGCAGTTCTTCCTTCTGAAATCATTAGATAGAATAATATCCACTGACGGCCTGCATATTTTCAGCATGGGTGGTTCAAGTGGAAACTCTTCCCACACTGGCATTTGAATCCCTCTTTGCCCACATCCAACATTCCCAACAGCAACGAGGCTGCTGTGACGCTGATGATATATAAATGACGCCACTTGAAATTCTGGAAGTTTGAAGAGATATCTGCAATACACATGGCGGAGTAAACCAGGCGAAACCTTTGTTTTGCACTAAGCAAAAATGACCAACGATCAGCAATGTCCAAGTCTGATTGGAAACCACTCATGTTTTTGCATTACTTTTATGAAATTTGACCAGATGCTGATGTATTTGTCACACGGATTGTAGAGTCTGCGTGATGAGTCACTTGCAGATAATGCGCAGCATTTCAAATTTTCCTTCAAACACGCGTGCACACACACGCACGCACACACATAAACAAACACATTCAAAAGCTTGGGTATCGTTTTCCATCCTCCTCTGTGCAGATTTACAGTTCCTCCCTTCCTCTTCAGTTCTGGCAGATGGCTCGGTCCAGCTGTTCGGTTAGAGGATCTCGATTTGAAAAGAAAAGCCTTCAAATGCACAACTTGAAAACCAGTGCAGAAACTCTGGAAGATATCCAGTTAACCCGTGTTGTCTTGAGCAATAATAACACTTTGGATGGTATATTTTAAACATTTTACATGTATTAATTCTAATGAATACAGACAAAAAATAAAATTAAAAAAAAAATCTCTGTCGTTCAAAATATTTGAAAAATTACACAGGACTATCTAAAAGGATTTTAGTACGGAGATGTTATGGCCTACACAATCATGAAGAAGACTGCTGAGTCAGCAGTTGTGCAGCAGAAGGACATTGGAGAAGAAGCTGGGTATATTCACGGAAAGTTGAGTGGGAAAAGAAAAAAAAAATGCACCACAGTCACACACAATTATTTCACAATTAGCATTGTGAAATAAAAGTAATTTAAGAGTTTGGGGAATATTAGCAAGATGAGGTATGCAGCATGCGGACGTCCAAGATGTTTGGGATCCAATTTGAAGCAACAAACCCCAGAATAAAACATTCATTCTCTGCAAAACGGTTTGGGGATTTTTTTTGTGTAAGAAATAATAACAACAACAACAACAATAATAATAATAATAATAATAATAATAATAATAATAATAATAAACAGAACTACACAAACATACCGCTTTCCGTATGCTTTCATGAAAGTTTATATTTTTAAAATTACCTACCAAGAACAAATTAAAATTCATCAATGCCTGTCATAGCAGCCCTATGTTGGGGCGAGAGAGGCAAAAGCAAGTGAATGTTTTTTTGATAATATTCGAAGTTATTACGATGCACTTAAAAACTTTTTTTTTTTTTTTTTTTTTGCACGACGAAAACCAATAACAAGCATAATTTGATGTAGCTGGGCTCAAACCAGGAAGCCTCGCCTGCTCCGTGCAGCAGTGATGTGATATCACATGACGACACTGGGCTTGGTGCTGCGCGCTCTGGATCCTCGTTGGCGGATGTGACACTCTGGAGATCAGGCAGACGGCAGATCCTCCTCCAGCAGCAGCACAATGATCCCGCTCATTCGCTCTGGACGGAGTTGCGTGTTGCGGACCGGACCAAATTATCAGGACTCGACATAAAACCCCGACGTGTCAGTTAAACAAGACGACTTAAAAAGAAAAAAAGAAAAAAAAAAAAAAAAAGCAATTTCAGAGACACCTATCGGTTCTTGTTTTATAGAAGTGTCTACCTGCGGCGGATTGAGGAGGGGTTGCTGTTCAGCAACAGGCTCACCTGCAGAGGCAGGACCATGCGCTCCAAGGCTGCGCTTCCCCGGTAAGTCACATGGCAAAGATGGAGATGTGTGCGTAAAGAAAGGATGGATGTAGAGAATTAAACTCGTCTATTTAGAAAGAGAAAAAAAATAGAAGAATAGTTTATTAGGTGAAATAATGGTAGATTATAGCAGTGCGCCTTTTCTCGTTGTTATAAGCTTTATAGGTTGCAAGAAGCAAAGGGGGGAAAAGAAGGACGAGATGTGAATTTAAAACTCATAGCCGTGCGTTGTGTACCACTAATCCATTTACAACATCCCACCCTCCTCCTCTGTTCTCCCTGCAACATGCTTCAGCTGCTCTTTATGGTTTAAGGTCAGTCCCTCAGGCCAGTTCAGGAATTTTCCCTCAGAGAGCCCGTCTTCTCCTTGTCGGTCGCGTTTACTGCGTTGAAACCAGTGGAAAGTTACAGCTGCAAATGTTCATCTCTGATCAGAATTCCTCAAGATTAAAAGCCCTCCCTCAACTCTCATGCATGTAATTAAAAATGTATGATGGAGGCTTCAGGAATGAGGATGTTTGATAAGGGGGGGTCCACACATCCGGTCACAGTTAATCACTTGTTTCTTGCAGAAATATTTGCTGTGACATTGCTCATTTCACTTTTGACAGCGTGATTCACACGCTCTCCGCTTCTTCACGTCCACACAGGTTTGCCTCCCTTTTGTGTCTCCTTTTCCTCCCCTCGGTTTTGTCCTCCTCTCCTCGGCGTCAGTGGGTTCTCCAGCGTATCCCTGTGGTCCTGCCGCAGCAGACAGAGGCTCGACCGACGCCGCAGTTTCTGAACGAGGCACGCCTGGACGTTGCTTCCCCCTGCGACCCAGAATGCCACAAGACAGCCCCTCGTCCCAGCTACTGGGATTTGCGGAGCCTTCTGGCCTACGAGACTCTAGACTCCAACGGCCAACTCACTGAGACCGCCATTGGGATTTATGGCTACAATCCCTATTCCAATACTAGTCCTGCTTACTCCTCTGGTTCCTCTGGTAAGGCCGAGCGGTCACATGTCAGAAGAAAACGGCAGATATTTGGACATGATGGTCGTTTTAGTATTGCGGGGCAGAACTTCCTGCTTAAGTACCCGTTCTCGGTGGCTGTCAAACTGTCCACCGGATGTTCCGGTACTCTGGTGGGGGACCGTCATGTTCTCACAGCTGCCCATTGTGTACACGATGGCAAAAACTATGTGAAAGGAGCCCAGAGGCTTCGGGTGGGCTTTTTGAAACCAAAGCAACGGGATGTACAACATTCACCTATTTACCTTCCCTCTAACTTTACCAACCACGTAGAGGGCGGCCCAGAACAGTACTCCCCACCTGCCAACGACAAAATGAAGTTCCAGTGGATCAGAGCCAAGCGCACCCACGTTCCCAAAGGTTGGATTAAAGGCAACGCCAATGACATCGGGATGGACTACGACTATGCTTTGCTGGAGCTGAAAAAGCCTCACAAACGCCGCCACATGAAGCTCGGGGTCAGCCCCCCGGCTCAGAGACTTCCCGGTCATCGTGTCCACTTCTCAGGATTTGACAATGACCGCCCCGGACAGCTGGTGTATCGGTTCTGTCAGGCAGGCGAGGAGACGTCGGACTTGTTGTACCAGCACTGCGACGCTCAGCCTGGGGCCAGCGGCTCTGGAGTCTATGCCCGGATGTGGGATGGGCGGCGGCGGCGTTGGGAGCGCAAGGTGATAGGCGTGTTCTCCGGGCACCAGTGGGTGGAGAAGAAAGGGACGTCTCAGGAATTTAATGTGGCCGTCAGAATCACACCTCTTAAATATGCACAGATCTGCTACTGGATCAAAGGAAACTTTGTGGATTGCAGAGAGGGGTGAAGGGATAAAAACAAAATGTAGGGAGGACTACACAGGGGTGTAGCTGCAAAAAGAACTGTGCCAGTCTCTAGGAACATTTTCACATGTTGTGACGTTACAACCACAAATTCAAAAATGGTGCAGTTTTAAAAATGAATATTTAAAAAAAAAATAGTGTGACATAAATGTATTCAGCCTCACTGACTCAATCCTTTGTAGAACCACCCTTTATTACAGTTTCAGATGCAGCAGAGATTTTGGGTCGTTTCCAGCTTAGCAAATCTAGACAGAAAATGTTGACTCTTCTTTAATAAAATGAATCATATTGGAGCTAAAATTTGACAGGACCAATCAAACAGATACATATCCTTAGATTTAACGCATCATTGCTGTGGCCACATGGTTATTCTATGGCTCTCCTTCCAGGGCGTCAATAAAAAAGTTGTCAGCTGCGAAGTTGTTCTCGAAAAAGTTACTTAACTGCATGTCTAGTCAATGTGGAACTAACCTCTATCCACAGCTCAACCTTTGTATTTTGCATTATTTGAGCACTTAGAAAATGTCTGTGCACCAGATGATTCTGAAGTTGGTTCAGAAATTTTCAGAAACACTTAAAAAAAAAAAAGATGCTGGGCATGATTTGAAATGTTTAAAATTCAAAATATGTTTAGGTTTTGTTGGATCATCTATAAAATTCTCCTTGTGAGGCAAAAGACTAGCAGCAAACTCGTCAGCATATTTTTTTAGTTCTTAATGTTTCTGATAAGTGCATCATATTTTTTTCCCCACAATATTGTTTATTTAAAGGGTGGGCGTATTACAAACAGAATGGTTAATCCAGGGGGGTATTTATGTTTGGTGAACCTCTTTCGCTGCCCCAACATTTCTCCAGTATTGCCCAGCATTTAGCTCCAACCTTCCCTGCACTTCTGAAAAAAAAAAAAAAGGCTGCCGCCTCCTTGTTTCATCATTTACCAAAACAGTTTTCAACCACCAATTTACCATGTAGCCCAGAAAGTTACATTTCAGTCTCATCTAAACCTTCTTCGTTTTCCATCTTTTATACGTGACTTGTGGCAACAGTAGCTTTCTTCATCTTCTGGAATGCTATGCTAACAGTTGTCCTGTCAACACCATTCTCCCAGTTGTGCACACTTTTTATTTTTAAAAAGTTTTTGAGAACTATGCATCTTTTTACTCCTACATAATTATTATGAGCTTACTCTGTTGGTGATAGGAAAATCCCAGTTAAAAACATTGAGGTTTGTGATTGTAACGTGACAACACGAACAATTCAAGCCGTACGGATACTTTAGCGAGGCGATGCATTTTCTTTTGGATTGCCGGAAGCCACAGGATTCCATATTTATGTTCAACAACGACACAGTAAAACAAATAACCTTCATGGTTTTGTCCCATTTCGGGGGAGGTAAAGTAAGCAATCAAAACCATTCAAACCTTTATTTTTATGTTCATCGTCGCACCTTCATTTACACCTCTAAAGTCCTATATATTTTTAAAGAAGATTGTATTTGTTTTTTAAAAGATGATTGTGAACAATCAAAGTATCTGTTGGCTTTCGTGATGTGAAATGCAAACTGGTGGAGAGGAGACGTCTTTCCTTTGTCACAGTTATGTTGATTAAGAATGCACTGTCAAGACTTCTACTGAAAATCATACCTGTGGATGAATGTACATGTCAGCTAAGCCAAAGTTGTAAACTGTACCTTGCACCTTCTTCTAGTGGACATAAAAGTTAATCAACAAGCATACATTATTTTCAATGCTAATGGAGTCTAATAAATTAATCTTTATTTTACAGGATGATTCCTAAAAACTTGTTCTTTGTGGGCCGTGAGTTATTGGAGCTTGTTGTATGGCGTCATCTCGTGGCGAGATAAAGTACTGCATGCATCTCCAATTCTTTTTTTTTTTTTTTTTTTACTCGGTATGGATTCAGATGAGTCTTGTGCTTTTCTAAAAATCAGAGACTACAAAAAATGTAATGAAGCAGATCCTTAAAAAAATATATATATAACTCAACTGGTTTGAACATATTTACTTTATTTCAGGTGTCAGAATATCCAGAAATGATTTGCGGAAGCTGAATACTGTCAAAAGCTGAGAGATGAGGAGCGGGTCCTATAACTTCCCCAGCTGTGACACGCTGAATACCCAGCAATCTGAACCTGGATCCTGGGATTTGGCACACTGAAATCAAAAGAGAACCCCTCCCCCCCTCCCAACCCCAAATCTTATTTTCAGTTTGAAACAATTGAGTCACATTATCATTTTGTAAAATTTTATGTAAACTCATATAAGATCAAATACATTTCACAGCAATGGGATCAAAAGGTGAAGAACATGTAATCTGTCAACATACAGACTGATCGCTTTTTCTTTTTTTCGACCTACTTCGGAGTTGCCAATTGGAAGGGAGTGAAGATGAAGGATTTAAGTAAACTTAACAGATGCAGAACCTAAAACCCTTAAGCAGCGTTACTCAGTTATGGGCGAGTGAAAAGATGGGAGAACCACAACATTCAAAACCAGTATTTCAAATCACCGTGCTCTTAAGGCTGGTTGGAATCAGCTGCACAAACATGCAATCTCAACAGAACCATTTCGTTGCTGATATTTACTACATTCGTGTGAAAAATGTGAAACACATAAAGCACCGAAGAGCAAACCTAATTAGAAAACTGGCACTTGTATTTTGCATCAAGTTTAACCGAAGATTCGGGAGTTTCATTTCGGGAGTTTCAGCGCCGGAGCTCAAACAGAAAAAGCAACGAAGGACACGAGGCTGATCACTGAGTGAGACGAAACAGAACGTGACCTTTGTTTGGAAACTTTGCATATAGGAACTGGAAATGTTACAAGAGTATTTCCTGCCAGCTTTCACTTTGGCTTTCACCCCCAACCCAGCAGTAGCTTCTGGTAAATCCAGATCTGTGTGTGATGACAGCTTTTTCGTGTTACAGTGGAAACAAGTGCTGGGATAGCCAAGGACACCACTTTACCCGCCACATTCTCTTCATTTTCTCCACTCTAACCCAACAAAACAGCTAAACTGGACTTAATACCATTACAAGTTGTATCATCCTGCCATTTAATTCCCATTCAGGAGTTGAAGTGTTGTGGAAACAACCTGAAACAGAAACCTACAACGTCACAGATAGTTGAATTTAGCAAGTCAAATGTAGGTCAGCAATCTGTCAGAGTTTCGAACTAAATAATGCACCTGTTGACGATACGCTCTCCTGGACACCTCCGCATCATGTGAGCGCTACGGTTTGACAACAGGCGGAGCTACAGCTGATGTGAAGCGAGGGGAAACAAACATTTAGCACAGTTCAACCAAGTTAGCTTCTTTTGTAGACTTCTAGGATCAGTTTGCCTCCTGTTGCACTTATTTTGATATTCCTGTCAAAACTGAACAAAACTACTAAAAAAAAAAAAAAAAAATCTGCTTTAGAAATAGTTTGTCATTTTGAAATTTATATATTTTTGGGTATAGTCGGATAAAAAAAAAACACAGAGTTGATCAAATGAAACATGGAAAAAGTCAGTACGGCCCACATTACAGCTGCATGCTTCAGCTTTATTTTGATTAAACTAAGGAATTTAGTTATGATCCCAAAGGAAATAAAATAAGTGACCTTTCCCATCCAACTCTGCCAATGAGAACATTTGGGCAAAATTACAAACTACTTTAAAAGCAGAATCTAAGGGTTGCCATAAATTGCAGCATTGATGCTTGAAATGATCAAACCTGTTGCCTCCCAAAAAACTGGCTGCCTGCAGAGAAAAGAGTCTGGGCTGAAGCAAAAAATAATAAGAATAATAATAATAAAAAGAAACAACAATCTGGATCTCAGGCACAAATCTTTCCTCTCGTCTCGAGTTCCCCACTTTATTAACAGTTTCGGGCCACATCTGGTGTGCGATTGGCCGCTTGCACGTGAAAGTATCTTTGGTGAAAGTCACCCCCAGGCATTCCCTGACTTCCCTGTCGTCTGGCAACAACGTAACAACATGCTAATGTCAGAGCGGTAATGCCCGGTGTAACACGGAATAGTATACAAAATAAAAATATTCTTTTAAATAGGCATATACAAACATCGCATTAAAAATAGAACCGTATCAAAAACACAGTTGTGAGTTCACAGTCTGCACCCCCTCCGGCCCACAGCTCCATGCTCAGAGTTTGTAGGTGAGGTTTTGTTGTCCTTTTTACTGCGACTTGAGCCCCGAACTGTTGGAGGACAGAGGGTAGGAGTAGGCTTTGCCCAACACAATGCGATCTCGGAGAAGTTTAAAAAGCACGTAATAGTTGCAGAGGAGGATAAGGCCCAGGGACAGCGTGTGGTTCCAGCGCTCAGAGCGCAGCAGAGAGTATAGCTGGTACAAAACCACGCTGGACTCGATCCCGATCAGCAGGTTCAAGATCCGCAATGGCTTATGAAACAGGAACTGCAAGGACACACAGGAGAATTGAGAATAAAAATTACTTTGGGTCAAGATGACTAAGGGCTTAAAAATCTCCGCTTTAAAATTAAGATGGGTATTTCATAAAACGGACATTTTGTGCTGCGTCTGCCGCCTCTTGTATATTCACAGGAGCAATTATTGGTGAGAATAGGAGAGTTTGTTCGAAACCAGACATAGATTTGTAAAAGTGTTGAAGTGATGACACGCTTCCTGCATGCTAGCTATTGCTTTCTGTTCTGGAACTACAAGATGAAGAGTGTGGAGCGTTTCAGTATCCGCATCGCTTTGTCCCGACTAGGACAGCACTAAACTTCACATGCTAGTGGAAAGTGTATCGGCTCAGAGGAAATAATAAACTGTCAAATAAAACTGTTTTACAAAAGCCCTTCCAAAACAGCTAAAATAAAGTGCAGCCCTGCTCCAATATGCTCACTTTGAATTATACTACCTGCCGACCAGGGGTATTTTTTTAATAAACCTCGAACATTTCAGAGCCTGTGTGGATGCAGGAATTTTCAGAAACAAATTGAAAATATGATCTTGTGAAGTGAGCGAAACTCTCACTTTAATTGTTTGGCTGTTTTGAAAATTCAGGGTAATTTACTACATTTTTTATTAGATGTTTGTGCTTTTTCTGTGTCTTCCCAAAGATTATGAAAAAAAAAAACAACATTAAAAGTTGCACATTAACTCAAATCCACGATCTGAGCAGGTTTCCTGTGGGTTTCCAGTGCATTAAAACCTTATTGTTAACATTCTAAACTCAAGTTTTGAAGTGGAAAGTACAGGAAGTGATATTCAGGTTACATTCAATTCACAATTATTGTAAAGATGCTTAGTTATTTTTTTTTTTAATTTCTAAAATAAATTCTCCTTTAAAAAATATATGAAGCTTAAAATGCAAGTATTTTTTTTAACAAATCTAATCTGGCTTACATTAATCTGTTTTGACTTGTATCTTCTTTTCAAAACGCTGCCATAGTTTCTGCTTGTCGCATAAATAATACACATTCTGTCACACAAACTTTAGGCATCGACTCATCAACACTGATGATAAATTGTTTTATTTCAGATGACCTTAATTTTTAAATACACTGTTTTTTTCCCCCTTCATAATTTGAAGGCTGTCATGTGGGTGACGTTTTATTTGTGTTTTATAATCTCTTCATTGTCAGGACTTCTTGTACTGGAGAAGCATTTGACAGAGAACATGCACCATGTGCAGAGGCTGCAGACCTTGCTGCGGCTCAAATCCCATTTGCTGAATTTTGTTTTTACGCTTTGTCTCTCCTTCATGTATAATCAACTAAACCGTCGAGAAAACAAAACAAAAAAACCTCGTACTGGACATACAGCACTGTCAAACGTATTATTCCCTTTACAGATTTCTTCTACTTTTGCTTTTGACTCGCACAGAGACAGCAATTGTTGCACTAACTAAAGCAGAACCACCTATTTTGCAGTTGATGACACCACAGCACAACATCACCTTTCTATCCACTTCATTCAGTTCCCAGCAAAAATATTGGTAAATTGTAAAATCAGGCAGGAATTAAACATGTTTTTGGCTCCATCTATTTTCACACATTTGGCCTCCTTTCTCCAAATACACAGCAACTAAACTGGCTTTACATGTTCACTTTAGGGAAATTCATTAACCTAAATACTCTATTGTTTTTTTTTTTAAAAAAAAGGGAACTGGTAAAATAAGTTGGATTTTTAATTAACTTTGTGCCTTCTCTGATTACCTTACAGTTCACCACGTGTTGGGGGAAGCTCAAAAGGGCAAGCATTCAGTTTTTTGTGGTTAAGCTCCTGTAAATAAAAGGCCCCATTTTGATCAGTATCAAATGTTGGCCGAATACAAATTTACAAAAAAAAACAAAAAAAAAACAATCCTCACTTCCCCATTTCAGGTTTCTTTCCAAGAACACATGAATATGTAACTGGGTCCGACTAAACAAAATGAGATACTCACATAAAACCTTGCATGGGAAACATCAGAGGGAAGCGCAACATTATAGGATCCAACAGCCTTGTATAGACATCGACTGTGTCGTACCAACACCCCCTGAGGCCAAACGGTGCTTTCTGACCACCTGAAAGACACCGGCACCACACAAGCCACAAACATCAGCTTCATTTGTCTCTGTGACAACAACAATGTGTGTGTGTGTGTGTGTGTATGTGTTGGACACCTACACATGCTGAGGTGTGTTGCTGTATGAACCGTGCTCCAGTTTCTGCCAGCGGCCCAGGTGAGCCGCCGAGCGATGGAGCAAGTCGCAGTAGCTGGGAGGCAGCAGTTGGCTCATCAGCATCACAAAGGCGTTGATCCACACCATAATCAGATGCTCACAAGACCAGCGCATGTCGTAGTACTGTGTACTCTGTTGGGAGGAAAGGAATGGGATTAGTTCTAACTTGGCCCAAAATGAAGGTACGGTTACTGAACAAATGGAAGGCCGGACGCAAGGACTTCATGTCAAGAAAACACCAACCTTGACGAAGCAGAGAGGCAAGAAGGCTACATAGTAAGCACTGAACAGTGAGTTGAATAGCACTTCTTTGATCCGCCGGTTAAAGTCGCTTTTCAGCTCCTCCACTTCTGCTCGAATCAGCTCGGGCGTGTCCGAGTGTATGTGCTGCGGGCAGGTGTGAGTGGGCATGTGTGGGGGGCTGGAGAACTGTTCTCTGATGTTCTCCCGCAGCAGGAAGAGGAAGTCGCGAGGTCGGAAGAGCTGGGACTCTGCGAGGTCGGCCTGCTGCTGCTCGGCGGGGTACTCGCAGTCAGAGCCCGGCGCCGGGCTTTTGCCTCCTTCCTGATGGAAGCAGCAGAGTGGGACGTACACACCGAATCTGAAGAGGACGGCGAGTGAAGCGAGAGCGGAAAACAGAGAAAGGATGAGATTCACATTATGTGTGACGTGAACACATCATGCATCTTTAAAATGTTGAGACGTGGAGGGAGAGCAAATTGCATTTTCTGGTTCCATTAGCACATTAAACGGAAAGATTCCCTGGCATTACTGAACTGTTGTGGATAAGCAGATCAATTAGCAGCTTTGTACATCTTTCCTTGAAAAGATTTCCGATGAAGATATATTTTTACTAGCAAAGGCAATTTATCAGATGCAGCTGTGAAAATATGTTTTGTTTTGCTTAGGTAAGAGCTTGAAGGACAGTAATGGGAACAGCGCTGAATAGAAATCTCGTTCCAAGTAAACTAATCCAGTTCAGGCTTTACTGAAGTATTTTAGATTCTGGACTGAAGGTGATTAAGTGTAGACACGTGTAGTTAATCGCGTAATAATTTCCATTTACATGATTTATTGTTTTCTCATTTCTTTCTACCAAAAACTGGATGACAAAAGTCTTCAGTCTGCTGCTTTGGTTTCAACTAAACCTTTTTTTGAAGGACAAATTTGTTTACTGATACTTCACAATTCATTTTATTTGTCGTTTCTGCTGCAATAACAAATGTTGGATGATTAAAATGCCTTCCAGTTCCAGTGCTAAATGTTCATTAGGATTCAAGTTAATTGATCTTTGAGAATGAGTTCATGGATTATTTTGCCATTACTATTGTCTTACTTCAAAACAACAGCATTATCGTTTATCACAATAATGTCTGGCACAATTTATCATCCAGCAAAATTCCTTGTCATGACGGTGCTAATTCCACTGGTGGAGCTGAGAGAGGAAGTGTGTGGCAGCGGGGTGATCTGTGACGGGGAGCTTTGTGAAAATAGGCTCCACTTTGAACGAGCAGGCGTTTAGGTAAAAGAGATTAAAGGATTCTTCAAACATGTAAGAAAGAATCAAAGCAACACTTGTACGTTTTTAATCAGGGAGTAACATTATAACATGATATGAGGCTCAAAAAAGTGGATTTTATATCATACCCTCCTTTAATAAACAGTCTGATAGCAGACTTTCTGACTTTACTTCACTACATTCAGTGTAATTGTCTGAAATTAAATATTAGACAAGCACAGTGCTCTGGACAGCGATCCGCTCTGAGGACTCACGGGTATCCCAGGAACAGAAGGTTAAGGACAGAGTGGTTCCTGCACAGGTTGACCAGCGTCCAGCAGAGCACCCAGCCGCACATGGTCAGCAGGCTGAGCCGGGCTGTAATAAGTACTATGTAGCGGAGCAGGGACCCTCCGCTGCTCTGAGACACCTGAAAAAAGAAAAGAAAAGAAAAGTGACCTAACAACTACTTTGCAATCATCCAAAAGGTACATTTCACAGCTTTTGTATTAGAGCGCTGAACACAGCATGTTTACCTCTGACACAATGGTCCAAACAAGCCTCCTGGCTAACATAACAGTGATGAAGATAGCCAGGTGGTAGTCCATTAGATGAAAGTTCTACAAGAAGAACAGAGTTTGGTTTTTTTCTTAAAAAAAAAAAAAACTTTTCCTGCTCATCTCTGTTGTTCTACATTAACTGAACTAATGTCTGTGCAATCTCACGAGTGAGGTAGAGGCAGCCGGATGACTGTAGGGGTACCACCACACCGTCCTGTAGATGTTGATGTACTGGACGAATAAAGCAACCAACAGGTAGAGAAAGAGCAGGAACTCAAACAGGAAGCTGCTGTCCAACGGCAGCTCGGGGATCCGCGAGTGACGGACCGGCTCCGGAGTGATGAGAGTAGAAATGGGCGGAGCAGACAGACCCACCGAGTTACTGCTTCTGAAAGAAGTCCAAGCAAAACAGTGCGTTTCAGTCAAACTGCACCTGCGGTAAATTGTAGAGACTAGAACTCCCCAAAAGATTTTGTTAAATTTCCACTTCCTCACTGTTAGGTCTGGAAACCTACAACACTAAAATACCTACAAAAAAAGAACCACAGACGACGTTCACTATGTTTCAATCAAGCTTTCGCGAAAAGAGAAATCGCAGCGTACGGCTCCTGCGAGCCATTCACTGTGTTTTCTGAAATCTTTCAGTCAGAGCGTGTCTTTTATTTTCAGAGAAGGGAGAGAGAAAAAGAAGAGGCAAGTTTTGTCTCTCCACACAGGTCGTCTAGGCCTTTCTCACGAGAGCGATTTCTCCCAAGGACGGCGAGAACAACGTTAGAGATAATCGTGCTGCAGAGACATTCTGTGACAGTGGGTCAAAAGTTTTAACACGCACAGTAAAAAGTTAGAACCTCTAAATGAAAATCAAGATAGTAATATGAGACTACTATAGTAAGAGTGATGATAACACATAATAATTCTAACACAAACAGTGAGAGAAAACAAATGAAATACTAGAAACATGAGCAGGTAATTTAATAATCCTCACAGCTTCATTTAGACATGCCTGAAAAAGTAATGAAATGCTCAGTGAAAGCAGTTCTTAGCATATGTACAACATTTACGTTTTCATTAAAAGACAGATTACAGAATCGAGGGTTTCTTTAAATGTTTCATAATCACAATTTAAATGAGCATGAAAGGATTTACATAGTGGATAACAAAAAGTGAAAATTACCCAAATTCAACAAGCTCATTTATCAGTGTGCTAAAGATTTTTTCATAACACAAATCCAATATTTTTCTGTCTCAAATTCCTAGACTTTGTCTGACCTTCTTTTTATGAGAGTCGAGAACAAAATCTTGAACTTGAACTTTCTTCAATAGCAGTGGGATCCTATTATCAGATTCTCCACAATACTGAAAAATGAAATGCTAAATGTGGTGTCAGATTTTCAATGTGGCGAGCTACTTCACTTCTTTTGTGGGATTTGGTTAGTCTGCCATTACCTTGAAACCTACTGCACACCTTCCCGTAACCCTGACAACAATACATTTAATATTTGAAACAAATCTGCAATCTCAGGAGGATCCTAAACACCCTAGAGACCGAATAGTTTAACCTCATTCTGGTGTAAAGCGATCTTCATATCCAGGACCTCCAGGTTTGGCTCGATGCGTCTAAAAGTTCTGCAACTTTTAGATGCGCCACCGCTTCAACACCACAGCTGAGTCAAATAATGAGGTCATCGGCAGGACTCTGGAGAATGACTGCATACAGGCAGTGATTCATCGATTTGATTCAGGTGTGTTGGAGCAGGGATGCAGCTAAAAGGCGCCAGAGCTCGTGGCCTGGATGTGAAGACTAGAAGTTCAGTCGACAACTCCTCCATCTGTCCTTGTAGTTCGATGGACAGAAAAAGCTCGGCCTTATTTATTTACAAACTGGTTAGAAACCACCACAAGACTGTGACTAATAACTTCTCAAGAATAATGTTACCTGGTCGAACAAGTTCAACTGCAACCACGATATTGAAGAGCGTGTCTGAACTGATCATTTGAAAGCTACATGTGTTAAAACTAACATAATCTGCAAATTATGTTCCAAGTTATACAGGGTAAGACTAAACTAAGGAATAACAGAATGCTATTTTGATTTTGTAATTTCTCCATTTGCATCATGGTGGCCGACCAAAGCTGGTGACTGTGCAAAGGTTCGACAAGCAGGGCGTCTAAAACGGAGAAAGACAGGAGAAGAAACTTCCATTAAGAAGTCCTGACCGAGACGCAACGATGCAGCGCCCGTCCTGACACATCTATGGTTGCCGAAACACTGTCGACGCGTGCAGGGCTTCAAATGTGGAAGTTGCCACAGTGATGAGAAGAAACTCATCGTGCAGATGGCTGAGGGATTATTCAAAACCCATCCACTTGTCTGTTTCTTAGTTAAAAGAAAAAGATGCCACGCTGTTGATTAAATATCAAATTTCAATCCTTTTTTGTGAACAGGGCCTAAATGTGTTGTATGACGGGTTCAAATTACAGCAGGACAGTTTTTTATATGTAGGTCTTTAGCAAAATATGATTCTTTGTCAGAGACAGACATGGTAAAAGCTGGATAGTTTGGCCAAAATGACGTCGCATAGCAACAAATGTTTGCCTTGGAAACAACAATTCAGATTTTTGCCACTAATTACTTCATAACTTCACTCAGCAGGAGGAAAGTTGTAGTTTTCAATATTTTTTCTTTACAGTTGTGAACATTTTAAATTAGAATTTTGTAAGACCAAAGACAGCTTGTTTATGTTTTCCTTTAATAACCAATGAATAAAATATTATAAAAGCTCTTTAAATTCTTTTTCCTGCAAAAAAAAAAAAAAAAAACTCCTTGTGTCAACACAGCAAACGCTACCTGGACACAGTTTGTGTTTTATGCCTTTTCCTCCACTTATTGACAGTGCTGAGCTCCATGTCCTAAACAAAGTCCTGTTACAGCAGCAGCTCTGAGTGTCCTCCAAGCTGCATGTGTGCATTACCTGTTCCTGAGGCCCGTGCCATTGCTGACGCTGCCTCCGACCAGAGTCTGCAGGGACGGCAGGGAGGAGCGACTTAGCTGCTGTCTGCTGGGACCCCTGCGGCCTCCTGGCATGGTCGCCAGTTACCGTTCCTCTCAAAAATCCACCATGTACTTCAAGGTCACTGCAGGGCGAAACGAGGAAAACAAAAGGCTCAATTAAAAAAAAACAAAAAACAAAAAAAAACTGGAAGGGTAAACAGATCATTAAAAAAAAGCAATTGAAAACCAGCAAACCTGAAAGGTAAACAGTATCTGACATTTAAACGAGATGTAATTAGCGTAAGGATGTGAGACATTAACTTTACAACCTATATGTAATAAGCGCACGGTTGAGAAGTTAAGAGAGAAAAAATAAGCTGCACAGATGCTCCTGTTTACCAGTGAACGGGTTCCCAGTTGTTAATGCATTTATATGTCATCACGGTAACACTTTATTTGAAGGGGGTTGAATAAGACTGACACTTTCATAAACATGACATAACATGTCATGAACATGAATAAGCCTTCATGAATATTTATGACTGTTGTCATAAAGCGTCATTCGGTAAATTATGACACTTTTAATACAAAGTTGACATTATTCAAAATGTCTTTGTGATGACAACTTGACATTAACCAAGAAATCATTACTGTTTAAACTTTACCTTTAATAACAAAGTTACCTAATTTTTAAAGTGCAATCAGTAATACTTTTATAACAAATTTATTTCAGTAATGATGTCTTGGTTAATGTCAAGTTGTCATCACAAAGACATTTTGAATAATGTCAACTTTGTATTAAAAGTGTCATAATTTACCGAATGACACTTTATGACAACAGTCATAAATATTCATGAAGACTTATTGATGTTCATGACAGGTTTTTATGACAGTGTCATGTCAGTCTTACTTACCCCCCTTCAAATAAAGTGTTACCATCATCACTGTAAAAACTAAATGTCACATTAATGTTGGGGAAAACACCACCATGATTAAATATGACAAGATACAGAACTATTTAACTTTGAGGACTGCCTGTAACTATTTTCACGTTCCTAAACAAAATTAAACATAGTAAATCTGCCACACCATGGCAAAAGTTCAGGAAAAAAATACTTAAGAGTATTTTGTGAAAGTAGATTTTGTGTGTGTGTGTGTGTGTGTGTGTGTGTTTTTTTTCTCTTAGTTTTGGATTGTTATATAAACAAAGATCTTGACTACAACATACAGGTTGTAACCAGCATAAAAACAAAGAGATTTACACCAGAACTGTACGAGTTTCAGCTCAGCTTGGCGACAGACCGGTGTAGATTTTACAGACCAAACAAAGCAGCTTTCTGCAGAGGGAGCTTCATTGAAACTCTGTTTGTTTCTCATGTCGCTACTGACACCACCTCATCCAAAGCCTCCCTTACTGCAACATCCCTGGTTTTTGTCAAATAACATCTCGGTGACACAAACGGAGCGATCCCCAATTCTCAGCGGATAAAAAGCAGCTCTGTCTGGCTGAGCTCAAAATGGAAAACAACTGGCTAGAAGGACTGTAAAGTTAAAATAAAAATAAAAAACCCTGACCAGTACAGGAGCAATTTATCTTCATTGTGTTATCTATAAAGTACTATGTGTCTGACAGAAAAAAACAAAACAAAACAATGATGTAGTAAAAAAAAAAAAAAAAAAAAAAAAAGGTTTTTTTAAAAAAAAAAAATTAAAGGACATTTAAACAAAAATGTGCTTTTTTTAT